TGATAATTGACCTTGATCGATGGTATAGATCAGTATGCCGTGAACAGATGGATCGATAATGCATACAAGTGTGAAGATGGTCGTGATCTGTTGCATGAGCTGGTTCAATCCATACTCTCGGTGACATCGACTGGAGTTCGGTTGAATTTATGTTTCATTGAACTTAAACACTTTTAGGGAACAAAATCCTTGATCTAATTTTTAGCACTGAAAGTACAAAAGTTAACAAAACCTGAAATTCGACTGTTTAATATAAAGTAAGAAATAGCAGTGATTAGGAATAGGCACATAGTTACGGATTAATATAAATTAGCTTTTCTTCAGAGAGCCACAGACTAGCAACTGTATTGTACATAAAAAGCAAACGGCAGACGCTTTGATGACTTACAATTAACTTTAGCATAGCGGATGCCATCTTATTCCGTGCTCGTTTCATTGGAAGCCAATGGAGAGCGATTGGGGCAAATCGCTTTTCCCCGCGAATCACTCGCCACACAGCAATTATGAACGGATCAAAGATGACTCCTCCGGCTGCATGAGAATAAATCCAGCTGCTGTTGTTTATTTGGATTAAACTGGAAAAGAAAGACCCAATTGTACACTATTTACAATTATATGATAAAAGAGTAATGTTTCCAAGGGATTGAAGCATGTGTTTCATTGAAACAAGTATTTTGACGAATGTGGTATTACTAGTATTATAGAAAATTTCCCATCTTAGGCGATATTCGAAGTAATATCATCCTGAAATGCATTTTATGGTAAGAAAAACGATTAAAAATATGAGAATCTTTATTTTTGTGGCAAAATATATCAATCTTCTGACTGTTCATCTGATCAGTAAAGTTTATCCCGTTAACTTCAATCAAAGCAAGCTACATACACCCTGTTCTTTTTTCTCAACCTGCAGGCTGTGGCCACAAGTAACTTTAGTCGTTCATTTGACTCGATCACGAACAGCGTTGGATCCGGTGGAATCACATCCAATGTGATCGAATTGCCTCCCTCGGCAAGTGCACACGATACGCTGTCCGCAGTCAGTGCTCCAGTCGGTACAGCCACAGCACGGCCCAAATCTACCCCAGCAGTTTGCTATCCCGTCATGAGTTCGGCCGGTGTTTCCACTTCTCGAACACGATCGTTCGGTGCAGCCGATCACGAAATATTGACCTCCAAACGACCTGGTTAGTCGATAGATTTTAATTTACAAACGACCGATGACCCAATCAATATTATTTTAGCGCAGTGTACGCAAACGTACCATAGCTTTTACTCAAACGCAAGCATTGTTAAACATAACATGAGTCGATATGGTGCCCAGGGAAGATATTCAAGTATTACGGACCAGACATAGAAAACGAATGCTTTTCTGACTGGAAACCTCATTCGCTTTTTTAATAACCTGATGTCTATGCAATAGCATACAACATACCGACATATATATATACATGTATATATATATGTATATATATATAATATATATAATAATATAATAATAATGTATAATATATAATATATATGTAGGCAATAGCGTGCATGCTATCAGACTAAATCTCTTAGAGTTTGGTACTTCCGGACGAACGGTTTCTGGGAATATACCCAGCAAGTTGTATATCTTCAGAATAATTATCCGTTTTTGTGTCTGTAAATTCGCTTATATTCAAAGCTGAACCGTCGCTTCGATTGAGTACGGCTAAAGCACATTTTGTACTTTCGATTTTATTGTTAACACAGTACCCTGGACCTATTGAAATAAACACTCGCACGAATTCTACTTTGATTCCGCAGCAACAAGGCTATGAATGTATTGCTCAGCGTTTTCCAAGTACATCGTAGAACAATATTGGCTGTAATGTCCACCATAATGATAATGATGATCACTTTTTATGCCACATGTTGTTATTAGATCCGTTTCCGAATTTTATAGTTCTTAACTTTCTGAGTTGCACCCGAAAGTGAAACCTTCAAGAGATCAATTCCAAATGCACAGGTCTGGTTGCACATACGGTTTTGGTAACTATTGTAAATTGCAACTCTATGCACCTATTTGTTTAATCTCTCTCTCTCTCTGACATGAGGATGGAACTGTAAATCTCTGTTGCTGATCATGCTTTTCTATAAACCAGAGAAAATTCCTAACGTAAAATTATGTAGGGGTTTTTCCCCGTCAAAAGAAATAAACATCTTTTGATTCACCGCTTGCCGTTTGTGGGTTACACTTATTTTTCCGGATTATGCAGTCCTTCAATTCACACACACACACACACACACACACACACACCATTGGTCACCCTCACTCTTTTCTCTTCTCCCAGCAACAATCAAACTGTGCCTCGTCAAAATGACAGCCGGAAACAGATCCTAAAGGGCATGCTTGCCCGTTTATTTTACTCCCGTGATCATGATGGAAAATTCGTTTTATCCAAGAACAATGAATGATACTGCAATAAAATAGCTCAATGAAAGCTCGTATCAAAATGCTACCCAGTTTACATCCAGAACCTATTTGTTACATCTCAGTTGGTGCATGTTACAAAGCGCGAACGAATTAAAGTAAAATTTACCCAGGACAGACAAGGGGGTACAGCAAATACTTTTGCTGTTAAATTAGGGATGAGGTTGCACCGGTATTGCATTTTAACAGCCAACACAGGAAGACGAATAGCGTTTGTGTGCACTCATCGATCGTGTATTCAAAAAATGAGGCAACAAATTTTTGATTAGGAACTAAATAATGAAAGGTAGTTTGGTTTGGGTGACTTGAGACTGTGCTGTTCCACGTGGTTGGCTAAAGCCGCCATAAACCGGAAATAAAGACCATCCATTTAGGAACACACCAAGTCGATTTGATGATGCTTATGGCAACCCTTAATGAAGACGTAACAAACCAGAGATATCAGGTCTACCGTACGATCGTTTTCCACCGATTGCCCTGCCAAGGTCTATGAATGAACAATGGTCAGAAAAGGTAAATTAAGTGAATCCATCCTGCTACAAATATTCTTTGAAAATTGTTCACTAATTTTAATCTGCACTAATCAGTCGTACACGTCTTGCAAACTGAAACTGTATTCTAGGGTTGAGATAGCCGACGAATCTTACCTAAACGTTCACATAAATCGTTAACCATTGAATCAAGCTTAATGTGGAGCACTTAATAATTATATTGTTCATTAAATCATATTTATATAAATACATCCAAAAATAATGACGGTAATCATAGCGCATATTTAGGCACTCCCTAAAACAGCCTGAAGAGAGCGTTAAAAATGAGCCTTGATATGATG